GTGCCTGCCGGCAAGCATGAGGTCAGGAGTTCAATTCCCGATATAGGAAATAAACAAACAAACAAACAAAAAACCCCAAAAACTGAAATGTGAGATGAGGACATTTCTAGCAAAATGTTCTTTTGTTCTGCTTGTAGAAATCCAAAGAGTGTCTCATGTTGGGTGCTACCTCTGTAGGCAGAAAGTTCTATAACAAGACAAGTTCTGAGTGGATTGATGCTTGTTCACTTCATTTCACAAAGTGGTAATTAGCAGTGGAACACAGACCCAGTGAGGAGACATAGATGCCAGAAGTGTGGGACCTTCAGGATTTAATTCAACTATGTGGAGATGAAAGCATGAGGTAGAGCTGACGGTGGAGCCATGAATCAAAACAACCAGAAGTAATGAATAAAAAGGGCTGGGGACGCAGCCTAATTGCGGTGCACTTGCTAGCATGTGAGATGCCCTGGGTTCGGCTATAGCAAAAAAAAAAAAAAAAACACCACCACCACCAAACTGCTCAGCAGGATTTAGAAGACTGCAGACACATCTCAGGAAAATATGAAACTCTGAGACTGCTTCTGATACAGGGAATTTCTGGCACCTTTCCTAAAGTCCTACTCTTGGCCCTGACCCCTGCTATGAAGTTTGTTGAGCAGTGAGGCCTTTCAGATACTCCTACAGTTGTGGACCTGAGGGAGGAGCTAGGCTCCCTTTCAAGGCCTAGAGAAAATCAGGCTGCTTAAACACAGGTCCCCTCAGTTCTCCCCACAAACAGGATTTCTGGCATCAAAGTAACTAGAGCCTTAAGCTCAATTGTGCTACAGCTTTGAATGCTCTCCTGTCCTCCCAAGATGGCATATTACCTCGGTGTCAGCGTCTCCCCACAAGTTGAGTAGAATCTTTGCCAGAGAATCTTTCTGGGAATGAATTGTATGAAACCTTTAAGCAGGGATTAGTTTTCCAGAGTAATTTCTTAAAAACATAGTCATTATTTACTACATTTAGGATGTTTAGAAAGGAAAGGGTAAAAAATGTGTGTCATGCCAGTGGGACTGTTGCGCGGAAATTGGGTCAACAGTAGCCAGGAGCTCAGGAGAAGAAAGGAAATTTTATTTAATGCAGTCACTCCGCAAGTCAGAGGTGCTGATTGCAGAGAGTTTGTCTTTTTTATAGGGTGGCTGTTTGGTTTTCAAAGCAGCAGAAGAAATAAACAAAAGGGAAAAGGAGGCCTTTTCTCTGGATCGGAGCGCAGAGCAGTGCATGCAGCACCGAGCTACTCTGAGGTAGACAAAGGAGGCTGGGGTTAATGAGGACCCTCGCTAAGGGGCTGAGTTTGAGGGGCAGGCTCAGTGATGTGTTAGGGGCTGACTTGGGCTTCCCTCGGGCACTCGGGAAGGGTAAGAGGAAGTTGTATTGGGGCTGAGGGGAGAAGAAGGGAGGGGAATGGTCATTTGGAATATAGGCTGTTGTTTTGGGGCTTCAATCATGTTAGACCAGCACCATAATGATTCAACAGTTCATACTTGGGAGGAACCTATCAGTGGCAAGC